AGTCCAAAACTTGAGTGGAAGGAGGCAGTGTGAAGCAGTGCAAGACCAATCTCAACAACATGATGGTTGCGTTGTTCATTGAACTCGTTGAGTTCCGATGTATAAAAAGGGGTGGTAAAATGAGAAATCCCTGTTGTAGAGAGAAAGTGACGAAGGGCAACATATATGCCCTCATTAGTATGCAAGTTTTTATTTTGCACTTAAATTGATTTTCGACAAGATCTTTAATAGATGAAAAATAAGGATTTGTGTTTAATAGGATAAAGCCATTCAACTAAAAAAATAATTAAACCCCATCAAAAGTGGTGACAGGTGTAGGGCCCCTCACAAAAAAAAATATATTATCAAGTGGAGACTTTGTAATTGAATAATTGGAAAAATGAAGCTTATGGCTTTTGGAGCAAGTACAAGATTCACAAGATTCACATAATGAAAACTGTGGTTTATTAGAAAACTATAGTTTATTAGATAAAAGCAAATTGAAAACATTAAGAATTTATTTTAGGGTTTTCGTTAAAGGATAACTTAATCATAAATGCCAAATCACTAAAGAAGTATTGCCTCCTACTTGCGTATAGATGCCGTAAATGATTGGCCCTTGGAGTAGTATCTCATTCATGCAACAATCCCTCACCAAAAAGAAATTAGTGTGAAATTCGATATAAACATTGACATGTTTATGTAATTGAGAGACAAAAATTAAATTAAGAGACATAGAAGGAACACGTGTGATTTTTAAACATGTTCCATCACCAACATGGAGTTCACTAAGATTATTGTATTCAAAAATGAAGTGCCAAGTTAGGCAAGCCAACAATCACGTAGTTGTTGGCACCAAAATCCAAGAGGCAGTCATTAGAAAAAGCAGTAGAGGAGGAGGCCAAATTTGCCATGGGCCTGAGAGCTTGCATGAAGTAGTTGGGATAGTTTAGTTGGGGCAATATTTAGCAAAGTGGCCTGCACGGCCACACAGTTGGCATCCGGAATTGGTGGGTCGAGTTATGGGCCTAGGGCTAAAATTATGAAGTTGATATTGATTGCCATGATTGGAACGGTTCTGCCCACTCCAATTTCCATGGAATACCTATTGAGGGTGGCGACCAAGAGAGGTCAAAGAGTTGCCTACACTTAATGAAGAAAAGGAATCAGTACTGGAATTAAAGGAAGCAACAACATAGTGAATGGTCACCGATGTGATCTCAAGGTGGGCTTCTTCACATTTGAGACATTCTTCAGGAGCTACCAATTAGTCATGCAAGCCATCAAAGGAAAAAGAGGAGTCTCGTGCTCGAAGAGGAGTTGTAATCTCCCGAAACTCAGGTCCAAGACCATTGAGAATATAAACTGTAAGATCATCGTTATTGAATGGATGATCAATAGTTCCCAATTTATCAGTAGCAATTTTGAGACCACGTCAATAGACTACAAACAAAACGGCATCACATCTTATGTTTTGGAGGTGTTCCTTCCAAGTGATCACCCGAGTGCGAGAATGATTAGCATAGAGCCTTGCTAACATTTCCCATGCTTGTTGCGCTATGGCAGCAGTAGCAATATAGGCGGTGATGTTCTCTTTGATAGAGGTGATAAGATAATGGTGTAACATTGACCTTGATGGGCCCACAAGCTATACTCCAACGTGGTTGCAACTGGACAAGGGTTCCTACCATTGAGATAGCCATTTAGTTCATAACCTGCAACAAAAAAAGTAAACTGAGCCCTCCATGACATATAGTTAGTGGACATTAGCTTTACAGGGAATGCGGCTTAATTGAAGGATAGGGGGTTTTTGGTGAGGCCAGGATTGATAACAGTTGCAGCAAAGTTTGGGGAGGTTTTGGATGCGGCAGAGTTGGGTAGCCATGATCAAGACTTGTGAAAGCATAGAGCGCTCTGATACCACTAATAGGCTAAAGACTAAAGGAGGCAAACTGCTGTATTTTATTATTGTCTTGTAAACAATATATACACAAAAGCACTAACACAGAATCCTAACTGATACAGAAATAATATATATGATACGATATAGTAAACACATATATTACAGATTGACTAAATCCTAGAATCATGGTGTCATTGAGTGTATATCATGTAGGATAATCTTGAGATACACTCGCCTTAACAAATTTCTCCTTCGCAAAGCGAAAGACCTTATCTCAAACATTTGCTTGAATCTTATCCACAACTGCAGACTCACCATGAAAAATTGCTTGTAGATTATGGCATTTCTTTCTATCCATATGTGGTAGATTGCTGCACACCAAGCTAGTTGTATCAAACTGCTATACATTGCCTTATGCTTGATCTTTTGAGATAACCAAGTCAAAAGAGGCTGCCAAGAAGGAGTAGAAGGGACCTCCAACATAGAGGAAATTGTGTCCTAAATCTACTTAGAATAGGAACATGAGAAGAACAAATGATCTCTTTGTTAGATTTTTGAGGTAAGGAGAAGGGGTTGAGAGAGGACTTGGAGGAGAGTAGGGGAAGAGTAGAACTTAGAACATGATATAGAGAGTAGAACTTAGAACATGATATAGAACATACACTAGGAAGGGTGCAAACATTCACTCAACTACAATGAGAGGAGAAATTGTTCTCCAACTCTCTCATGTTTCCAGTAACATGTCTGCCCATTTATAGCAGAACATAAAAACAATATTTTTCACCTACTTTCCATGATTTATGGTTCCATGTTTTCTGCACAATCTATCCTAACATTTAATTAAAGATTGTGATATATAAACTAACATAAAAGGTACATTGAAACACTATCACATTGCTGCACTTTTGTTGACTAATTTGCAGTCTTCATTTGCATTTTGCATTTCATTTTCTTCCATAATGCAAAAGTTTACTGCATCTTTCTTTCCTCCATTGAAGCAGCTTTATTGCTGCACATTTTCTCCCATAAATGCAACTTCTTGTTGCACTATTTTGCTGTTTTGTGGTAGCAACATCACAGCTTTGATGCCGCTGCTCCATCGCTTGTCTCACTTGCAGTTTTGTATAGCACACAAGTATCATCAATATGAGGTGACCATGACTTCTGCTGTGCTTTAGTTGAAAGCCTGTCGAGTGTAGCAAGCCAAGACATGAAACCATGTCGTGGTATAGAATTTGAAAACCAAACCAGTCTTCACCAGTGTACCGTAGTGTGCCTCCCCCTCAAATGATTCCAGGTGCTCCCTGTTTTAAATGTCCCCGATGAAGATGCCAACCATACAACAGAGTCTTCCGTGGTCTGATCAGGGTACAAAGTGCTGCATAAAGCTATCTGGATTTGCAACAGCTCAAAGGATCGAGCAGGAGGCCATTTCCAAAAATTTCCTTGGACCACTCGAGATAGTTTTGCTTGTAGTGGGATTGCGGCATCCTGCAGAATTTTATGACCATACACTTGAATGAGTGGTCCCTTTGGGTGCCACTAATTAAACCAGAGAAAAACATTTTCCCCAGTCCCAACCAAGTATGTTTAATCAAGAATCTAGCCGTTGGCCTCAAACTTAAGATTTTCCTCCTGCTCCATGAAGCGTGTCTCCAGGGGTTCTTAATGACCAAAAGCTTTTGCCTCGAATCAAAAATATATATGCATGTATCCAAGCAATCCATATCGAACCAGCCCTTGAGAATGGTAACCAGATAAATCTCAAAATGCAGGCCTTATTCCACCCATGCAATGGCTTAATGCCTAATCCACCTTCCACTTTGGGTTGACAAACTGCTGTCCAATTAACTTTTGCTCCCCTAACATGGTGGCCTTTCCTTTCTACAAGAAATCACTGCAAATGGCTTTCACTGATTTTACAACTCTTTTAGGCAAAATAAAAAACGGAGCACCAAAAATTTGCTATGCCTTGGAGTACTGAATTGATAAATTGCAACCTCCTCCTCCTGCAAAGGCTAAATGTCTCGAAGTCCAAGAGCTAATTCTGTCAGTAATTTTTGATACGTGGGGCTCTAATGCTGCATCTGTTAACTTGCCAGTTATTAGTGGCATCCCAAGGTACCTAACAGAACTATTTCTACGCTCTAGACACAACAAATGATTAACTTGAATTCCAGAATACCCGCTAAATAATTACATACCTAACCATCATTATGTTGCTTCGATCAAATCACCAGCGATGAATTCGGTTTAAAACCGCAACTTCGTTTTTATGTTTTATAGGAGTATTTTTTATTTCTTTTATTTTGGGCAACCAATACCGTACAAAAAGTAATAAGAAAATATTTTTCAAGTCATTCATATTTTAATAATATTTTTAAAATCAATTTTTGAATTAAAAAATAATTAATTATATAAAATTTAACATGTTAAATATACATTAATAGATGAAAAAATTTTAAACTAAAAGATCACAAATTTTATATCAATATAAAAATTGACATGAGTAACATGCCTTTTCAATCATTTTCCTGAACAATCTAAAAGAATCAAGCCATTCAAAGATGTTTTTAGAATACCGGAAGTTTCAGAACACCAACATAATATAACTTATCCATCTCAAGCAAACAATAGCAGAACATACCAACATTAACAATAAACAAAATGATTTTAAAAGGCAAAAGTACAACCTGTCTCACATACGATAACCTAGAATTCCCAAACAAAAACAATATCCTGATCAACTGACATAAGTTCTATCCAAAATGTCAGAATTGGAATCACTCTTACTTCTCCCATCTATAGAGAAATTACATAAACAAATTGGGCCTCGATGCCTTGTAGGTTGTTTTGAGTTTCCTGGTTGGAGGTCGAACCTTCTTGAACACCAATGGGAACTTGATTTTGGAGTCATGGAACTGCTTGGTGCTTTCCCTCTTGCATAGCTTTGCTGGAATGGTGGCAGTCTTGATAATCTGGATGCAAGGAAACCTGACCCTGTGACGAGAAGCCATCTCATTGTACATCTGTTCCACAGCACCATTTAGAGTGGTGTCCCTGTATTCCTTGTACATGTTATGGTAACCAGTACGACTTTGATAGCGCAGCCAGATACCATAGTTCTTTATCTTGGTAGGGTTCTTCTCAAAAATCTGCAGCAGATTCAAATCAGACATATGACCATGATAGCATTAATCAAAGACTCGTTTACGGAGTTCTCTGATATGTTTTCTGTTCTGACACGTGACAGGTTGCAACAGCATAATACAAGCATAATACAAATATAACACACGTTTACAACGAACAGCTCCCACAGATAATAAAATTATCTTAACATAAAGCTACAAAGACCAGCCGGTGAACATAACAAAATTTGAATAACTGTTTCAAAAGGGTACCAGTATGCATGTCCAATAACTTATTGATGACGAACAGAATTAATTGACAGACCAGCTGGTGAACATAACAAAAACTCTAACCACAAAAAAATTGGCTTAGAACACTAGATAGTGAAGTATGATGATTAAAGATGTGTGTTTCATCATCTGGTATTCAAATCTCAAACCAAAATCCTAAGAATAGGTGATCCAAAATCAATGGACATTCCAACTACTAATTCAATTATAAACTCTAAAGATGCAGTTCTAACCAAAGTTGAACTTAACTATCAAAGGTAAATGTCAGCATTGTCAGAACTAGAATCAGATAAACTTTTGGCCAAAGGTTATAAAATGCTCCAGTTCACTCTAACAGTACTCCAAAGAAAGCAAATAAAGGAAGAACAACCACAACAATAAGGCCAACCTCATTAATAGCAAGCACTTGGCCATTGCTCTTCTTAACCTTCTTTAGCTTCCTCAGGAAATACCTGATTGAAACCAATCAATAAATGGTAAATAACTAAAACAGCAATTTCCACAACAAGGAAAAACACAGAATTTGAAGATCAGATCAGAATCAAATCACTGACCAGAACTTGGACTTGGCCCGAACCTCATTCGTGGCCCAGAGTTTCATCCTGTAAATCTTGGGATGCTCATCGGCTTCAGATGGCAGAGCCCTTCCAACAACCTGGTACTGGTGAAACTGCATAAAGAAACAAACAAAAAATCACATAAACAAACACCTCAAGACCCTGAATCTTCAGAAGAAAAGAAAAATTACATTAAAAGAGAAGCCTTTTTCCCAGGACCCAAAACCCCATCTTCTCAAACGCCCTTAGTTCCTATTTGCATGATGAAAAAACAGGTATAATAAAGACTAATGAACCCTTATTTCCCACAGTTTTCATCACAATTTCCAACATGGTCGAAACTAAAAAGTCATTAATCCATCCAAATACTATAAATCTTGGTTCAAAAAGAACAAGAACAAGATATAATCCCACTTAAACCCTTAGTGCATTAAAGCAAAATCAACAACATACACAGGGAAATCTAAAACTCACGAAGTTAAAAGGATGAAGATTCGAAGAGATCTGAGGAGTTAGAAGTATTTTTCACTTACCCTGAAGGTAACCATTTCCAAGGAATATGAAGATCTTCACAGCGTCTTCCCCTACTCCGCTCACGTACAGAAGAAAGGCACTAGGGTTTTGTTTCCCTTATATAGTGTCGGAGTTCGAGTTTAAAACCCTAGGCCCGAATGTTACAGTCATTTCGGCCTTTCTTGTTGGCTCAGCCCATTTTTATTCAGCTCACAATTCTATTGGACTTGGCCCTTGATAGTTGCTCAGTTTATAGGGCTCGTTTTCTATCCATTTAACTCTTGTGAGATTTTTTTTTTTTTTTTTTTTTTTTTTTTTTTATGACTCTTTTGAGAAATTGGCATGCTCATTAAGGGCTGTGGTTATGAACATTAATTATTTTGTTAGGATTTTAAAAAATATTGAATTTTTTTGATTTGGTTATTAAGATCAGATGATAATTAATATAATAATTAATATTTATTATTTAATAAATTGAAATCAATTTCCAAGTTGACATTTGCAAACATCAAAATTAATTATTTTAAAAAATTATAAATTATTAATATACTAATCAAACTAAATAATAATTATGTGGTTTTAACAAAATAAAGTGCGGCTATAACCACACCTATCATTATGGGGATAAAAAATAAAATAAAATAAATGTTTTTGTGCTATTGACATTTGGTGCATTTTAGCCTGTTATGCAGTGTTACAGATATGGTTGTTACTGTATTGAGTTATTGCTAAAACTATTAATATTTAGTAGAGTACTTATATTTAACAAGTGTTATACATTTGCCTCCTATTTAGAATTGCTCAAACTTTTGCGGCCTAAAGTCAAAAAATTCAGAATACTCTTTTCAGAAGTTGGAGTTGATTGAAACACATACAATACTCATCGCAAGCAGAGAATTCAAAGAAAAATAAAATTTGAATTTTTTTATTTTGCACC